TATCTAGCTCCTTCGCTGTTCTTCTCATCGCTTTCTCGTGCCCACCTATATCTAGCCACCTAAGCCACGGAACAGCATCCCCCAACACAAACAACCCAATGTAATGAAACATATCCCTTATGACGTTTTGGCACCGCCGCGCCTTCTTTTCGTCGCTCAAACTACCATTCATAACGTTGAAGAAACGCTTTCCAGCAACCATTCGAAACACCACATTTAGTGTCAAATCCCCCGAACCACTCCTTCATCTCCACCAAAATTTCTCCTGAGCCTCCTTTTCTTTTGATCCACAGTTTGTACAACTCCTTCAAGCTCATCTCTACTTCGGACACTCGAACATGTTTGAGCAGCTCCAGCCTGCTGTTTGAGAGTAGCTCGTGGGTTGTTATTTTCCGTATTTCACGCCAATACGGACCATAGGGGCTATACGCCACCAAGGCTCCGTTGTAGCTCAAGTGTTCAACGCCTACGATTTTGGGACGGGAGGAAACAGCCAAGTCATTGGTGGTGAAGCACTCCTTCGCCGCCTCCCAACAATTTACCACAAGGGCGGAGTTGAGGCCCACATTGATGGAAAAAACCGGTCCATACTTGTCCACCAAGCCTCCCAAAACTATATGGGGAAGCTCGGGTCCTGCCAACAAGTGGATGTGCCCTAACAGAGGCCATCCACCCACAACCTTCGGTGCTTTGGGAAGCGAGGCAGCAGCTCTAGACTTCCTATTTATGATCAAGTAGGAAAGCACAAGTATGGCAAAGATTCCAGCTATGGCAGTATTTTGGTATGGGAGATGGAATTCCATTGTTGCTTGAAGGATCAGTTATCTGTGACCTTTCGGAGATTGGCTAATCCTACAACTTCTTTGTAAATGTAGTGTTTGTTTGTAAATTGTATCCATGAGTAATAATGTCTTTACATCACATCACATCACAATTCACTAATTCTGTTATCCTATAACTTCTGGAAGGACCAGTTATCACTTCAGAATAGACATATTCAATTATTGTAGTACGGTTAGACTTTGAGATATGGTAACATAAGATTCGTGGCTGAAATTTTGATGACTAACGTGGAGAGCTGATAACCATTTAAAGTATGGAAAAGCATACAGCAATTCCACACATTGGAGATAGTGTTTAAAATTTCTTCGATACGGTCGATATTTTTAAAAAAATATAAAATAAAATAAAAAATTAGAGAAAGATATGGAAATAAGGGGTGAAGTCTAAACTTTATCTTATATCGGAAAAATTCTTAAGTTTAGGCTAAAATCGATAGATATCGTCAATATTCCTAACACATCTGTTAAACATCAAAGAAACTCTTATTTCGTCCAAATCAATGTTTAACAACCTTAAAGTTTTATTTTAAATTTCCATTATTTCAATCGAAAGCAACCAATATTGATATCGATATATCTATCGATATTTTCACCGATACCGATATTAAACATTGGTTGGAGGATGGCAAGGACAAAGCAAGGGCAAGGCTCTTGTCCCTTTGCAAAGTAATTGTCTTTGTGCAACTCCACCCATTCGACAGTGATTACTATTCTTTTTTTTTTTTAAATGCCTTGTAAATGTGAACTTTGTAAGTTTGTTCTTTAAAAAATAAAATTTCATATTTAACTCCAATGATTTAATTTCAAATACAAGGCAAAGTATAGCTTTACAACAAGTATAATTAGTTAAAAATAAAAGGTTAATGAAGAAAGTGATTGGATATTTATATTTTTTTTTCTTTTTCCTATTTTTTTTTCTTTTTATTTTTAACCATTATATTAATCCTGACCGTTTGATTTTTCTTATTATCAAATATGATGCATCACAATGTTCCATGTGGTATAATCGTAACTTTTTCACTTGTTTTTTACCGTTACATAAAAGTCCAACTATCCAGATCATCGGGTTGTTGGGTTCTTTAGCTGGAGAGATTTTCAGTATGACCGTCACACGAGGTGATACACTACGTGTCCCTATAGAAATGATGAGTTATGTGTGTTAAAAGGTTAATAACTTAAAAATTAAAATTTTCCACCACTTGCATAAAAACACGTGATATACCATCTGTATTTTCATCACAACTAAAAACTTCTCTTTTAGCTGAAGCTGCCGCAGCGGGCCTAAGTTATCAGAAGTTGTTGGCCCACTCACCGAGACGCACGTGTATTACACGCGCCAGAAATAACTAATAGCAGAAAGTGGCTAGCAGAAGGCCGGGCTTGATTAGGGGCAGTTGGGCGGGCTTGTTGTGGCCCACGAATTGCCATCCTTCTTTTAACCCGCTGGAGGTGGTTTCTGAAGTTAAAGGGGAATTGAGAAGCCCTCGCCTTTGCCCTTGGCAATGGATGCAATTGCTCTTATAGGTGCAGCTGGCGGGATCGATCGGAAATCAAACTGTCAAACCACTTTAAGTAGTGAAGACTTTTATCATTTTGTTTTGAACTTTATCATTTAACAAAACTTGGTTTTATAGTGAAATCTTAATTTTTTTATGGTATTAGAGCAAGGTGTTCGGTGTGCGAAGCTTAACACCCACATGTGTTTATGTCACCCAATTTCTGTTGTCCACGTATTAGAATTAAAAATTCATCACACATAATAAGACATGTTGAGAGTATCAATCTTACCTAAAAATTTAAAATAAAATAAAAAAAAACTTTACATGAGCTTAGCTTACAGACAATCTTCTTAACTATTAAATAAACTATCCATCAAATTGGTGTTAAAATGTATAGGGGAGCAAATCTTAGTAATTTTTAATTTAAGATTCGAATGTGGGAAAATGATTTAGTAATAATAACATCGAACGGAGCAAATGATTAGTGCCAATAATGAATAAACTACTCAAAATACAATTGTAAATTAAAAGCAACAATCCAACTACCATATAAGTTTATAAAATATCATTCAATAGCTAAACAAGGAAGAAAATTACTGATCTATCCGCTTGTCATACTTTAATTAATTTTTAGTTATAAATTCTCTGTTCTAAAGACAAATAACAAGTCCAGTGTTTATTTTCCTTTTAAATTAATGAGTTTGAAGTATTAATTTCAAAATTGTAAGGTTATAAAAGATTGAAGTGTAAAATGTCCAAAAACAATGGAAAATGAGCATATTATGGATAGTACAATGGTGATGTATGCGATTACTTGTAATTGGACGTGGACCACAGCAAGGCAAAGCGATTTTTTCAAAGACTATATAGCGGATGCTAACTAAACTCCCTAACTCACGACCGCAAAACTAAACATAAATTCATGAAAAAATAGCGGTCCAAATGGAGTGAAATCAGAAAACGATAGAAGCGAAAATTCTGACCGAAATGATGAACAAAGTCAATAATACCGAACATACATAAGTTCAATAATTCACCTGACTTGGCGTTGGTGGTGGTCCTTAATTCAGAAATCGTAATCTCCATCTCTGCCTGTAGTTTCGTCCAGACTCCGTGCGCATTTTCTGAGCAAAAGAGGGGCCGCATCATTCAGGGAACCGAATTTCACAATTTGCCATTGACTTATTCCATCACCCATATTTTTCTTCATATTCATTTCCATTTTTTCACTCGGTCGTCGGTTGCCTTTTAACTACGATTTCTTTTTTGTTAGACATTTTTAAATCTTATGGGGGCCCTTTGTTGATATAATCATGTAGGCTTATATGAGAAGAGATTCTCTCCGGATCTCTTCTACCAAAGTCATCGAATCAAGTGATCCAGACTTTTGAAATTTCATCCAACGGTAAAAATTATTATAACTTTTGAAGGATCAAAACAGGTAAGCCGTTTGATGAAATTTTAAAGGTTTGGATCACTTGATCCGATAACCTTGGTGGAAGAGATTTGGAGAGAATCTTCTCGGCTTATATAACTTGGCATGCAGGGCCCAACATTGGGATAATTCAGGCTCAGTTTTGTACCCATTTTTTTCTCTCGTATAGAAATGGCCATTTACATACTTATGAAGCCGAACATGTTTCCGATTTGAAACAATTCTCAACATCCTCACAAACCGCTTTAAGTGCATCAATAATGCTTTTGAAACCACGAGCTAATCTGGGGTTCCACCCGTTCACCCAAAAAAAATAATCTGGGTTCCACCCCAAAACGAGTATGAGTGACCCAATTGCTTCAAAATCTCAGATTTTTCAGAACTTTGATGCAGGACAACTCCTTAATTACATCCTCACCAAAATTACATAGAACTCATGTGATTAGAGGTAGGAAGATATGAGTTGGAAAAGCATGTTGATAATCACTGTCAGCTCTTACGCCCCATGTTCTTAAATTATCCCCATAAGTGAAACTAACTGGATGGTCAGTATGCGAAGAGAGGTCTCCCTTATAGTTATAAGACCACAAGAAGATAGGCAGAGTGGAAGGACAATTGTGCTAGGTGTTAAGGATAGAAGTTAGTTGACCTAGGCGAGCCTCATAGTCTTGATAAACTTTTAGGTTTAGCATAATCCACCATCAGCACTACCGATATTTTTTCAACTTAACCACATATTATTAGGGGTTGAGTTGTATCACAAAATGCCTTGGGTGAGATAAGGGGTTGGCTTATAAGAATGTGAGGACAAAATCCTCTATCGGTGAGAGACCAAACCATGCAAGAGCTTATAAGAATTTGGGTTACTCCCCATATTACCAATTGGTTTTATGGTGGATCTTCAACTTTCTTATTTATTAATTGCTTTAAGGGTAGTCCTTCTCCATGGCGTAAAATCTTATAATGATCCCTTATCGAACTCAACTAAGAAATCCATGTTAGAGACTCCTCTAGTAACCATCCCCGAATTCCATGGAGGTGTTATTGTAAAGAAGGAAAAGTTCCAAACCAACTTGTATGAAGGCACCATGACTATATAATCGGCTTATGCCCTTGAGAGTATGTCACGGTTCGATTTCTTTTAGTGTAACTTGTCCAGGTAAAATTTAATGCATTATTTTAGGAGTGGGCTCCAACAAAAAGTTCCATGTAACTAAGGATAAATTACATAATTTATGTTATACCATGCATTTCCCTCTTAAGTTTCTGGTTAAAAAGAGACAAAATTAAACAAGGAATTACATGAAGTGATTGATATTGCACATTAGATATTTTCTTTCTCGACGTCTGCCTAAAAATTAAGAGGCAAATTAACATATATTAACTCTAGTGTTTAATTAAGTAACACTTGATTAATTTTGAAGCTTAATTAGCTAGCTACGGTTAAGTCATTTGAAGGTTGAGGCTATTGAGCAGCGTCCACTCGCCACTTGGCCTTCCAAGAGTGAACTCTAGATTAAGGTACATATCCGACGATGCCAAGGAGCTACAATCCAACGTCGGCCTCTCTTTCATGCTTTGAGCATACCCATGGCGGCGGCCTGAATCGTCTTCTTCCACCTATATATCAAAGATAAATAAAATGTTATATATAAACACACACACACACACATACACATATATATACAAATTTCTTGTAAAATTTTGATATAGTAATTGTGATTATTTTTGCATTTTTGCATACCTTAGTGCCATTTGATGGTGGGGAATGAGAATATGTCAAACCATCTTCATGTCTTAAATTAGAGCTCCCAGTTGTGATCTCCGTCGAAGAAGACCGCAAACCTCTGCACGCAAAATTAGACCATTAGTGATCATGTTGCTTAAGGGGAAGGATCCTCATTTTTTTTGAAAAAATGGGGACACGCTCCCCACTGTTAGATTGACTTTAATGAAATTGTGTGGTTAAGATTAAAACACATGTCACACAATTTCAACCACACAATTTCATTAAAGTTAAATCCAACGGTGAGGAGCGTGTTCCAATTTTTTTGAAAAAATGGGAATCCCTCCCCTTAAGCAATTCCCATTAGTCATCAAACATAATCACACATATATGAGTTCTGCCAGTTAGTTAGAACAATATTTTCATCCTCATAAATTCAAGTTTAAATCCTTCTTTGCTTAAATCAGTGTAATATCCTGTATATGCCGTGTTATAGAAAAAAACATATATACAATAATCTTAAAAATTAAAGGCACTTAATTGTTGTACTTTTATTGGTAAGAAAATGTGATTTTGCCCTACCTAATGCAATCTACAAAATGCATGTCAAGCTACTTTTGTAACCGGCAACTGAGATCTAGCAACTTCAATTCTAAGCAGAGCAGGACTCAGTCGTAATGGAGTCAATAAAACGGAGTCAACAAAATGCATCGATTTGGCCAAGAGATTAGACATGCCTACCCCTAGCTAGCTAATCCATCCAAGGTCTTTGATTTCTTTGTGATTTGTGTCAAATATCACTACCGTTGGATTTCAACAGCGTTGAGATTTGCAGTGAATTTCCTTGACTTTTGGTCACACATTGGGATCATATCTAATACACATTCACAATCCAACGGATGTGAGATGTGGAGCTCGTTGTAAAGGACAGACGTAATACTTACATTCCCATAACAACCCTAGCCAATTAACTCCATGTTCATCAAATTCAAGGTGCTTTGAGACTTCAGCAATAAATATTTCTCTACACCATTAACAAAGACAGACAGCCACCATGTTGGACCAAAAGAAATTCCATCTCCAAGAGTACTAGCTTGTAAAAAATTCGTGATTGTAGGTTAACATTTGCATTCATTTACTAATGCCACTTATTAACCAAGTAATTAAGTCAAAGGATTTTGCTTATAGGTCTGACCTGAACTAAGAATTTATTTTAATTCTAACTCATTATTTTGTGCTCCGTCACCCTTGAACTAACCTTAAAAGCTTAACTTAGTGTTAAAAAAACAAATTAAAACTAGAGAACTCACCTATTAGTGTTAACTTTGTCACAAGATAATTGTCCATTGGCTTGAAGTGCTGGATTGATTTCTGGATTTTGACTCAAACCGATTTCTGTTTGTCCTTCATGACCTACAACATTTACAATAGATAGAACCAATGCCCCTGGATTTATCAGACACAAAGCAAATAATTCACATGGACTAGCTACCTAACAACTACTGAAAGTCAGTGCACTTATATCCCGGCCCTCAACCATTTTTTACTTTAGTTTGGGAGGACACAATGGATCAAGTGATCGAAGAAGTCCCACTCAGATCACCCCAAGCTCCCAAACAAAGAGATAATGGAAAGATAAATAAACAATAATATGGGGTCCTTGTAAGATGAGAGGGCCGGATCGAAAATCTAATTACCTGTTCCTTTATTGTCTGTGCTCTTCACTGTTCTATACATCTGCATGAAAACACCCAAACGAAAAATAGAAGAAAAAAATTAGAGAAGATGAAAAATTAGAAAAGGTCCACATTTTCTGCAAGTACCCCCTCTAGATGCTTTTTTGTCCTCACCCTTTTGTTCTCTACCCCCCACTACAAATGAATCATACCCATATTGTAAAAATACAAATATGTTAAAAGGTACATTGATATAACAACTCTTTGAAAAATTACAAAGAAGGACCATTTTCATTATTCGTATGTTTGAAATCAAACAACTAAAAGAAGATTGAGGACACATGAGTAAGCAGTGATGCTATAGCCCACCTGCAAGTGACTCTTCACGTGAGCAAGGGTTAGATCCTTCACATTCATCAACTCTAACACAGATTTTGGCGTTGCCCCTGCAGTCATAATTTTAATTAATTTATCAATTACATAAGAAATAAGAATTAGCATTGAAATAACTTGATTAATAATTAACTGTTTTCTCAAGGGGTTTTATCTCAATTTTTTGCAAGGGGTTTGATTCACTTTCTCCCAGTATAACTTGTAATTAATTGTTCTTGGAAATTAAATAGAAATGTAGAAATTAAAAAGATTTGTCGATTACTTTCATGGCCGCCAAGAAGCTGCACTGCATGAACGAAATGGGCATGGAGGGTTGTAGTCCACCGCATTCTTGGAGCTCTGATGCTTCTTTTCACAACACCAACCGTTCTCGCGCTTCTCTTGAACTCGCGGCCGTAGATTTGAGGGTGGTGGTGGTTGAAGCAATGATTACTGTTGAAGTTTCTTGGCATTTGGAGGGCTGGAGGAGGAGGACTAGCCATATGGTGATGATGATCTTTCCTTTCATCAAACCCTAAACTCAACTTTGGCTCCTCAACCGCCGAAGCAAGATTGTAACTGCCACTCCTTTCAAGGTGGTAGAAGCCATGTTCCTGACTCAAATCGCTTCCGCTGCTGCCGGAGTCGGTGGCTGAGCTCCTGTCTGTACTGTAAAGTGCTTTTCTCGTTACTCCGATATCGTATGGAAGATCATCCGCAGATGATGGAGGGCTGATCTGTAAAGAGAGATCAGGCAAGGGTAAAGAAATTTTTTTCATCATGCTAGGGTTTGAGCTCATGAGGTACACAGAGGGAGAAAAATAAGTGACAATGGTGAGGAACAATAAGAGAGATTCTTATAGCAAACAGGAAAGAGAGGGAGAAATGTGTAAATTAATAATATGAAGGAAAAAGGGTTGAGAGGTATGATAATTATAGGGTCATGAGTGCCTTATGATTTGCATTGGGGTTGAGGAAGTGATCAGACATATAAATTAGTAAGTTGGTAGCCGGAGATAGGGTTTTTTAAGTAGGATCAAACAATTAGTCAGAGACGGGGAGAGAGAGAGAGGGAAATGGAGAAAGTGAGAGAGTTTTTTTGGGATGAAGGGATGCAGGAAAAGTTAGTGAAAAGGGGAAGTTGCGTATTTAAGAGAGAGTGCAGAGGGATCAGAGACCTTTCCTGCTTTCGAGTTTCTACAGCTAGAGAGAGCCAGAGAGAGAGAGAGAAGCCTGGTCTTTTTGGTATTTTGGTTTATGTTTTTTTATGGTAGAGAATGAAAAGGAGGTGCCGGGATATAATGGAGGTTTCTGCAGGGGCAGGGAATGGTTGGAATTCGAGAAAACAAAAGGGGCACTGTTCAATGGAATATCGGAAACGGAATTGACTCTCTCTCTCTCTCTCTAGGTTTTGATGGATGGATGTATGTATGGATGGATCGCGACCTGTTTAAATACGCTACTTACTCTTTTTTTGTTACTATCAGGTATAATTCTCGTTCAATTTTAATATTTTCCTTAAACTAGAATATTTCCATTTTATTCATGAACGAGGATTGACTGACCAGTACTGCAGCCCTTAAATTATCCCCCGTTCAAAACTCCAGCTATGCCCTTATTCGTTTTCTTTCTTGCGGACGTGACAATTAACAATTATAGAAGGGAATATGTTTCTCACCACCTTCAAGAAATTATGATACTCACCACCGAAGATGAGTTTAAATTTTGAAATATGTGTAGTAAATTTTAAAATTCAAAATTTAAATTCATTCAACATTAATAAATAAGGTGGTGAGTATTATCATCACTTGAGGGTCATCTTTAGCTTCCATTACCGGGTGCAATTTGTTGGTTCTGATCAAAGTTCTGAGGCATGCATATGAGTATACTTCATGATTTCAGATTTGAATTCTCCGATCCGACGCTCGTAACTCGAAAACTAAACCCTTTTTATCTTAGTCCTAGTGGATTTTGACTAGAAAATAAGAATATATAAGAGTAATGAATGTTAAGATAAATTAAAATTTTAAACCAAATTTGCAAATTAAATGATATGTCATCAATAAGAAATATGTATGTTAATCACACTTAAGTAATAATCCAACAACCACTCAGTACTATGGTCTGGTTTGAATATCGTGGATGACAAATTTGATACCAAATTAGGTTGCTCATTGTGTGGCTTAGCCAAACTTCCCTTTGTTAGTATAAAATATATCAGTGTACTCATCAACATCCACATCATTTGATTTACAAATTTTAATTTAAAATTTTGGTTACCCTAGCATTATTCAAAAAATAATCAATGTATTTGTATATCTTGCGTTTTTATACATGTTTCGTTTTGAGAAATTAATGCGTGACGTTGAAAACATGATCATGAGCTATAATGTATGTGACTGTTTATTGATATTAAAACTTTGAGAATAAACTCGTCATTCACTATATGAACTGGTTGTATCGCACAATAGTTTTTTGTTTCCAAGGCTAAGGGCCTAAGGCCAACCCTAACTCTTACTTAATCAACTCAATCAAACCGACTATACAATAATTGCCAGCTGATCTGGTGCTGCAGCCTCTGCCAATTCTCCCTCATAATATTTTGGAAAAATTAGTATCTGGTCCCTAGTTTTTACTATTCATTGACTAACACCTTATTAGTTCTCAAATTTTGATTCAAGTCCCTAGCATTAATGTGATAATGAATTTACATGTTTATTATATAATTTTTTTAATATAAAAATTAGTAATTAATTTAGGGTTTAATACTCACACCTCTATTAAACTTCTAATTAATTTTCAATTCAAACATTTCCAAAATAATAAAAAATTAAATTAAATTAAGTTTGTACCTATTAGTTTTTTTTTATATATAAAAAGATTCTCAATTTTTTAATCTTAAATGTACCAATTCATATAATTTTTCAATTTTTTTAATCTTAAATGTACCCATTCTCAAATATATCAATTTGTTATATGTAAAATGTACCCTTCTTTAATATAAAATCCATTCAAATTTTTTTAATCCATGTTTTAAACTTATATGGGTACACTTTTTTTCGTTGATTTGAGAATTTATCCATGTTTTGGTACAATAACTTTTTTGTTAATTTTTTGGTTAATGTACCCATACATATATGTACACACACACACACACACACACACACACACACACACACAATATAATAGAGAGAATAATTTATATTTTATTATTTTTAATCCCATAATTATGGGTTTTATTTAAAATCTCATTAATATAAACAATTACAAATTTCAATTTTTAATTTTTAATTAAAAAAATATAGTAACTTACATTATTACATTAATATCAGGGACCTCAATCAAAAACTAAAAACTAACAAGGTTTCAATCAAAGAATATTGATAGCTAGGGACCGCATCCAAAGTGTCCCTAATATTTTTCAAACCAGTTTAATTTGAACAATATATAGACGCTGGTCCAAGTGGGCAATACCAGTTTGTCGATCATAATCGAGCTGTACACGTGCGAACCCCACGAACAAATACCTTAGCTAATTACTTTTTTTTAATTAAGCTAATTTGTTAGTTCACTATATGATTAAATCATAGCTAATTAGAAATAAGGAAATGATGAAGAAGGGGATGGAATATAAATGCATATATATTGATGAAATTGAGGTTCCACCATAAAATCAATTGGTAATATGGAGAGTAGCCCAAGACCATATAAGCACATAGCAAACCTTGTCCTTCACAGATGTGGGATAACTCTCAACACGCCCCCGCACGTGTGGCGGATTTTCAAGCCTACACGTGGACAACAATTGGGTGAAATGGAGCGCGTGTGACCATTTGGCTTCACACGAGGACAACCCGCTCTGATACCATGATGAAATTGAGGTTCCACCATAAAACCAATTGGCAATATGAGGAGTAGCACAATACCATATAAGCACATAGCAAACCTTGTCATTCAACAATCTTGGACAACTCTCAACATATATATATATATATATATATATATATATATATATATGAATTGAATTGAAGTCGTATATATGAAGCATAGAGGAGGTGTCATAGTGGCTGGGGTGTCCGGCGACACCAGGGTCGCAGACCCACATGCATTTCTAACTATTCAAGGTTTTCAAACATTCCTCTTGCCACTCGCTCCACATATACTTTAGTTCAATCACCTTCATCCTTATTAGGATTACATTAGTGAAGCATAAAACATGATGGAGCGAATTCAAGAACAGTTCGACAAATGTAAAATTGTAAGCAAGATTTAAGCATTGCAAATTTGGATTTTGAGCTCCTATTTAGACCGTAATAAGCTGGGATTGAAGATGAGAACGGTTCTTGCGTTTAAAGCACTGTTTTGCCTTGAGCTATAAGTTTTTTATACTAAGTTCCTTCGTTTACTAGATAAAACTTTTAAGGATACTTTCGAAAATTGGTTATTTTCATTTTTGTTTCCATTTAGATTGAGAATCGAGATAGGGTATGTAACCACCTTCTTACGAGTTAGGGTTGTTTATGTTTCATATTATTTTCATTCAATCTTTGAGATTTTCTCATGCTTTTAATGGATTCTAGTCTTTCTTCTCTAAAATTAATGTGATTTCCTTTTGAGTGTCACATTGTGTCAAATAAAGTGCATTTTCTTGTTTATATATACTTGTGACTAACGATTTTCATTGTACATGTCATAGCCTCATAAATGGTACCGTTTTCTCAATTATTGTCTAAAGAGTGCATCGATCATTATGAATAACTATTACGTTAACTATTGTTTGTTATAAAACTAATATTGATTCGATGTATATGAATAACTAACCGATCTCAACTTGATTGGTTTTTTAATGTCATGATGATCATTAAACATTGACTGATAACATAATCATATGCTGTTATGACATATTCACGGAAAAAATCGTTATCATAATTAGATGGAAAAGGAAGTGAAACCCTAGTGTGTGCTTCACAATATAGTGCTTCAATGGAAGCAAGGACCAGCGCGTGTAGAAACGAGAGCGTGTAGAAGGAAGTGGATGAAGGTGAGGATGATAATTTCAACGGCTAGTATCTGTCCGATACACAGTCTTCGATCGTCCCCAATATTCCCTCTCCGTGTCCAAGTATTCCTTGGCCAAAACCCATCTGTCGAGCCCCACCCGCGCGTGGAATCTCACAAAATTAAAATTAGAAAAATACGTAGAACTCATCCCAGAGACCATATTCCTCGGCGTCAACATGGCTTCCGGTCACGTGACATATGGACGTGGCTTGACAATAGGCTCTTTCTTTGTTCTCTTCTATTGGTCTTTTATGCTTAATATTATAATATTAATTTCAACTCAAAACCCCATGACTTTTCCTATTCTTTATTATACGATTTGTTTAATTAGTTTATTAATCGTGATTACAGAAACAACAAGATGACTAGAAAACGTTAATCATTTGTTAATAGTTTTCGAAGCCACGGTCAGCGCCTGATGCGCTCTAGATTCTCGAAGAACAGAAAATTTTGTATTTCTTCTCTCTAATTATTCTAGTATTAAATTAATTAATTAAACTTAATTAAAAGTATATGATCACACACACTCCTCGATGAATCATGATCACATATTCTCAATCCTCATCTTGTTGGAAGTATTGAATAATAAGGTTGCGGGAAGGGGAATATCCGGTCAACATGTCTCTCTATGGGTTCATTTGCAATGTTACCAAATGCTTGGGGCCATTGCCATATTATTCCTTGAGTTATATTCCATGAGTTTGTCTCATAACACCATCTCCCTACTCTCTCATATTCATTACCTATTTTAATCTTCTGACCATATCCCTACTTTTTAATTTAGTCCTTTTTTGACAAGGACCCCAATTGGTTCCACGTTAAAATAATGCACATTCTAATATTTCATTTTCATATCATGCGCCACCTACCTCAAATATTATATACCCTCCCTTGACCAGATATATAAAGGGACTATTGATACAATCAGACATATCTCCTTGTTATTAGTATTGTTCTCATCACGTGATAGATGTTTGATGAGAGATACTAATGATGGAATATATTCATGTTACACCACATATTTTACTGATATACAAGCGAGGAACAACAATATGAACTTTGAATTCATGATTTTAGATTTTGCATGCCTAGTTGGCCTTAATATGCACGACAAACCTTAATTTAGACAAGTGACAGATAAACTACAAGCAATAGTACACTTTGCTAATTAATTAGAGATGCCTTCTTGTGTTAATTAATTCCTGGTTTAGTGCATCCCAAGTTAGAAACTGAACATAAATTTAACTTATAGTTTACCAAGATATGCATGTTCTTGTAAAGATATATGTTGCTTTTGTTTTACTGTTTATAT